ATTTAATTTGGTGAAATTATGAGACTGTGAAATATGGTAGGTTAAGTGGAATTATGAACCGATGCTTGAACGTTTTTGCAGCTTTCGTTGTTTAGACTTGCAAAAAAGTTATTGTTAACTGTACTGAATACATTAATGAGTTAAATAGCATGAATTTTTGGGTTATAAGCACTAATTATAGAACCCCTACTACTTGGATGTACTTCGTATAATAAAGCCACAACTGAAGCGCTCTCGTCGCATGAAAGTCATAAATAGGTTATTCTCGGACTAGTGTTCACTACTTAATTTCCGTGGCAACTTTTATTATTTAAATATTCTAGTATATTATCGTGCAATTAAGAAATCGAATATTTAAATAACAAAAATTGCACGAAAATTGGGCAGTGGACACTAGTCCGAGAACGATTGAAAAGTAATACGAACCAGTGTTGTTGCTGATCCTGGTTTTTTACACATGAGCGGATGTGGATGCTGATTTTGAAGAATCTTTTTCAATGATTTTGATTTTTTCAACAATTTTTTGTCATTTGTTATAAAAAAAAATGAAGCTATATAAAATCAATCGGCCTGCCTAGCTTAATCACATTGAAATTTTCTTAAAAGTAAGAACGACGGCGGAGCATCTTTTTAGCTTGCAGTTTCTTTCGAAATGGTTTGTAAATTAATGTCAAGAGGCGAATATCCGCATTGAACATCCGCACAGAAATGTATACTCTCCTATTTAGGCATAAAAAGTTATTGGCCAATTTCGTTCGTGGAATCTCTAAAGCTCTCTCCAGCAAAATTGTAATTTTGCTGATGTAACTTTATGATAACAAGGGTGCAAAATGATCGCAGACTGTGACGTGCATTTGGGTAAGCAGTAACATAGCCACTTATTTCTTTAATATGGCATAGTCAAGAGTACATACATTATGCCTGACACTTTGGATTTTGGACATTCCTATCATAAGCGGCATAACATAGACCTTAAATCTTGACCCTGTACCATCACAGTCGCACAAGTCACGCTAAGCCAAAATATTATTACTTTCAAAAAACGAACACGGAAAGTTTGTCATTTAACCAAGGCCTGCAAAGGAGGTATGAAAATCCATTGCTGTCCACTTCTCTAAACATTTAAATCTACCTACTAAAAATGAACTATGTAAACAGGCAAGAGAAAAACTCATACAGCCAACTGCCCAGTGTTCATATTTGCGAGAATTAAAAGTACCTGTCTGTATCGCTTACTTAAAAAAAAAAGAGAAAATGACGGCAACGTTTAAATTAGAGTGTTTTGGTATTCTTTTGTTTTTTCGCCTTTTTGTATTTTGGTCGCGAAAATGAGTGCTAGTAAGAAGAGTGATAACGGAAATAGAGTAATAGATACACATTCAAATACATAATCAGAAGTCCAGTAGACTAATGTGTCCGGAAATCAATAACGTTTTGTTTTAGCAATTGTCCCAACATGTCACATTTCATATTAAATTATTTTTTTTTACTTTTTGTATTATATATCTTCCCACCTTTATTCTTTTATTATTGCCTCACATTGTTTGAAAAAAATTCTATACATGCCTCGACTGGACGGGGATTGCTTGACTCGTATTAATATAAGGCCTCACTGGCGCTCGTCCATGTAACTCATGCTCTCCCAGCAATCCCTTACTTGCCAGTTTCTGCAATAATGTACTATAATTAGAAACGCTAAAGAAAAGTTTTAAAATTGTTTTACATGTTACAACAACGTTACGGCATACAACATACAATGTCTCACTTATTTATTTACATATTTGTCTTCCCTGGTTCAACACTCAGCACCTAAATTCCTACCAAAAATAACAAAAAGGAAAACTCGCGCTCAAATGCGCACTCAAGTGCGCCTGATCCGAAAAAGCGACCTAAATGTTGAACAAAAAGAGAAAGAAGCAAGTTTGAGCAAGTTAAATCGCGTACTTGACTTTGGATTGAGGTTTCGAGGCCGTTAGGGGGAAAAGGGGGGCTAAGAAGGCATTGGTGGGAGGCAGAGGAGGGGGAAGTCCGTCTCAAAAAGTGAAACGGTCTAACTGTACTCATCTGATTCACAGAGTCTTGATTGCGATTTGTTTTGCATGAGTGAAAGATGGTGGTTATAGAAAATGTTAAGTGTTTGGCGCGAGTTGCGGCATGGTTCAGTATATTTTAAATTATTTTATAAATATTTCTTATTGTTTCATAGTGAAAATAATACGTTTGAAAAGGCAAGTGAATAATCTCAAGTTTTGACAGAAAATGAATACTACTGCTTAAAACGTCATTATCATATCCATTATACATCTCCCTGCTCGGCACGGGTCTTATCTAACGGCTTACGTCATAACCAGCTACGCTGCTTCAATACGGTTTGGAAATTTCACACGTTTCGTAGCAGTAGAGCTCCTTGTGAAAGAGTTCGTCCAGGTAAGTGCCACCTTACCCATTTCTGCCGTGCTCTGGTTTTGGTTTTGAGGGTAAGGGTGTTGGTGAAATTACAGGCACATGGGATTTGTCAGCTTATGTCTCAGTATGACGGGCGCAGTGGCAGTGCCTTTCCGGTTTTAGCGATTTAAAGCACTGAGTGGCACTTGCGTGGTGTCATAAAAAAAACAAGGTTATTTTCCTTCAATGTTAGCGGTACCCCGCTACTAGACAATCACAGATGTAAATAACTAAGTAAATAAAGTCATAAGCACGGCAAAGATTCGAACCGTGGACCTCTCGATTGAGAGGCAACCGTTCTCAGACTGGGCTACCACTGATGAAAAGCTACAATTGCGATAATTGTACTTTGATTCGAAATATTATTTCAATACTTCTATCAACGTACCGAATGCCTTGGAAATTTAGTATAGGACTTATTGTTTATTTTACAGAACGCTGAATGTTTAAGATCTCATTGATTATTAGATGTTACAAGCTTGTCAATTTAAATCGAGACTGCTATGATGAGGTTTTAATACTTTTAATTGCTATACGCTTTAAAGGAGACAATAGCCGAGCTTTTTGCCTGTCTGCTTGTCTAACACAGTGTTCTCTTAATTTAAACGGTTGTTTTAAATTACACTTCTATTTATTCTTTTGTTTTTTTTTTATTGTTCGAATTGCGGTATTCGCTAAACTGCTTTTACGGTGTTATATTAACAAAATTATTTACGCAAGTTGAGGAAGCGAAACATGCCTATTATATAATAATTTCTAGTAAGTACATTGCATATATTGTTAGCTTCTCTTTTGTGACTAATGTATTTACATATGGATATGTATATTCTCATATTGGTAATGACTGTAATGGTATGTGTAAAGTTTTAAGTAAATAAATACATAAATAAAGTATGTCCGAAACGTAGCTATTGGAGATCGATATCCCCACCTACTTCATTAGCAGACAGGTGTAGTGATATGTCTTTTTAATATTTCCTTCACATATGAATTTTAATTTTGTAAGAAAAACATAATTATATATATAAAAAATAGCTACATAATTCAATTAAAATATTATAACTTTTTCTAACAAAAAAATAAACCAACTTTAATAGCTTGTGGAATTACATTAATATGCCAAGTTTTATTGAAAACTATCACCGGAAAGTGTATGAAATCCAATAAAGCTGATTTATCCCCTAATTTTCTACCCTTAGAAGTGAAAAAATTTCCTCAAATTTGAGTAAATGGGACCAATACTCAGGTACCCTCTTTCCAATAAAAAAGAATCATCAAAATCGGTTCACAAATGCCGGAGTTATCGCGTAGCATACATACAAAAAACATACAGTTGAATTGAGAACCTCCTCCTTTGTTTGAAGTCGGTTAAAAAAAGAATAAGTGCGTGCTTGACCTCCATAACACCTGACGAAAAGTGGAAATGAGGTCGACAATGGAGCATGCACACATAAATAATCCATTCTTATTATGTTACATAGTACAGGATATTAGAAAGTAAGCTTCAGTAGAAAACCACAATTTAAAATAGGCAGTGGTGACTAGGTTGATCAGAATGTAATAAAATGTAGAAGATGGTACCTCTCCGTTACTTTTGAAATAACACCTAAAACTCTCGATGTCGTCATCGCTTGATATCAGGAGACATAGTTAACGTGACCATACGTCCTGCTTTTAAGCTTAGTGTCCCGCTATCCCCAAAATACTAAATAATGTGACACGTGACATTAATTTAAAAAAATGGTGCGAAAGCGAAAAATACATATATGAACATATATAAAGCCAGACACAACATTAATTCTATTGTTGAATTTTGGATCAATAAACAGTTTTACTTCTTTTTTAAATTTTATATCATTAAACATTTGGTAACTACCATAAACAATAATAAATTTATAAGCGTCCTCCTCTGAGGGAAAAAAATAATGGTCACGTTAGACATAGTGGTCAAACTTGAGACTATTTGAAAAAAAAAAAGAAATGTACAAGTAATGTGCAGCAATCGTGAAAGCCAATTCGATAACCAAATAAACTTAATAGACCACTTCATAAATGAAAATGACAGAATTACTAATAGACGGCTATCCCAAATAGAAAATATATATTTAGTCGTGACCTTTCAGACTTCTAGTTTTCTCTCACGTGTTCTTTGCAAATTGATGAAGTTGCAAAAATACGAACGCCTACATCACTTATATTTGTATCGCAATACGGAAAGTTCCTAGAAGTTAAAAGTGTTTTTATTTGGAATTATAAAATTACAAATTCGACTGTATTATCCTTGTATATAACACTGATTTTACGTCAGGGCAGATATTTTTAGTCGACTTGTATGGTACCTACTGGATTTCGGTCGAAATCAGTTTGAGGTGGCTTAAGCAGATGGAGCGATGGTTGAGAGTGGCAACACAGACATTTACAGAGCCAATGCCAAAAAATGGCCTTGAAGGGCGTTCTTGGATCAAATTGTGAGTTTTCTTAGAGATTAGAGTGGATAATAAGATGAATAGGATATTTTAATGAAAAGATTCATCAATGTAAGTGACGCAAGAAAGATGTTCCAGGAATATGTAAAGTGGCGATCAATAGCATCTGCCTCACCCAGCGGTCGACAAATTGCAGCTCGCAGGCTACAGGCTCGTAGGCCAAAGTTCTTGAATATGGCTCTTCCACAAAATACCGATACCGAGGAAGTATACAAGTGGTAATGGGAGAGTTGGAAGGGGTTATCATCATTAACCTATTTATACGTCCCACTGCTGGGTACGGGTCTCCTCTCAGGCGACGGTTTAGGCCATAGTCCACCACACTGGCCCAATGCGGGTTCGGGACTTCACACGTTTCCCGAAGGTTGTGAACCTCCTTTGAAGTGCAGGTTTCATCACGATGTTTTCCTTCACCGAAAAGCTGAAGAAATTTCAAATTAAATTTCGCATATAAGCTCCGAAGAACTCAGAGGTGCGATCCCGGTTAGAGGTGCGATCCCGGTTAGAGGTGCGAT